TTTAAAATGAAATTAAATTTTTATTCAATTTATTTGGATGGATGCCTCATTAAAAGCGAGAAATTGCACAGCTATTTCTCTCAATTTTTATTATTTTTTGAACAGAGAAAAAAGATATTAAAATGTGAAGTATAAAGTAAAACACAATTATTAAAAGATAAAGTTTGAAGAAGAAAACAAAATTACTCAGAAAAGTTATTTTCATCAAAATGATTATAATTAAAATGCAGAAGAAAGAAGTTAGCAGATAAATATCTGCATGTATGTATTTATATGCATATACATGTATGTTTTTACTTATATATATTTATATATATATATATATATATATTTATATTTATTTATATATATATATATGATTTTTATATAGAAACGAATATAGTCCACTTTACGGATAAACGCGAAAACCTTTCACATAAATGAAATATATATCCTTGCGTAGCAAAATGTAGGTAGAGCTCTAACTACTTCGATAGAAGCTTTTGCATTTAAACATGAGGTAGGAAAATTATTCTAACCTAACTGTTAACGTTTAAATTATTGTTACCTTTATATACTATATATAAAGAGTAGTTCTAATTAATAAACTGGGGTACGAAAAATGAAATCGTCATAGTAAGAGCTAATACAATTGTTAATGCTCATATATAATTTTATCTTTATCTTTAGCGTTATTTTTATTTTTATTTTATATATAATTTTTGGTGGGTATTAATACATATTTCATATTGTTGGTTTGATTATCATCATGCAGACACTCGGAATAAAATCTTCTTGATCAGTATAATCGACAGTTAATTTTCTGATTTTTCAAAATTTTTCTTTCTTCAAGTATTAATAACAAATTAATAACGTTTAAGTAATGGTAATTCAATCTGCATATAAAGATAGTGATAACAATTATAAATATTCTTGAATGTTGATTTTCAGCCAATCGTCGAAATAAAAGAAAACAAATAAATAATAAAATATTTATTTACGTTTCGACACGGTTGTGTGTCATCATTCAGCATTTTACTTGTCATTTCATCTTTTAATCTATAATTTATTTTAAATTTAATTTTCTTTTAAACTTAGTAAAAATTCTTTTAGATACTGTAAAAAAAATTCAAAAGGGGTTGCTGAATGATGACACACAACTGTGTCGAAACGTATAAATAATTTTATTTGTTTTCTTTTATTTCGACGATTGACTGAAAATCAACATTCAATAGGTCTCGACGCCGAACAAAAGAATCCAATTATAAATATAAAAAAAATTGTCCTATTACAAATCCGTTTTATTTTAGTTCAGATATAATACAGGTCAATAACTTTAGATCTAATGATAAAACTACATTCCATATTTGTGTGAAACTAGCTATTTAATGCATTTTGATTTAGCGTATGGGATCCCCGTTAACGTCGTGTAAGTGCGTCATATTTGCTATATGAAATTTATGCAAAAGGTAAATGCAACTTAAAATATTTGTATAGGTGCTAACTTAGAATATACTTTCTTTATTGAATACACCAACATGAAAAGAACGCTTGTTACAGTTTAATAAATTGGTCCAAGGCGTTCTTTTTAATTTTATCCCCTGAATGTGCAATTTATCCAAGGTGTCCACGGTTGCACCGCCCTCGCTAATTATATTTTAGCTATATTTAATTTTTAATTGTCCACATATCAACTTTCTTTTCTACTGAATGTATCTTTTATCGTGAATTTACCCAAAATTTCGTTATAATTCATTTTACACCCTATAGTCTGGAGAACAAAGGAAGGCAAATTCGTGCCAGTGACAGGCAAATCCTGGCTTAAGCACTTCATGCCGGTCGTGGCCACTCAAAAGCCGTATAAATATGTTCACATCATTTTATGCATGATGTCCCTGCTCCCTTTATATCATGTATAATAGTTATTTAATTGCTCTTCGTCAGATTTATCATAAAAGATTCGTCAGATCGATTACAAAATGATGGTCGGATATATTATCATCATATTATGTTATGCAAGCAATCGTTATAAGCTATAGCCGGGGAAATGGTGCTCTATCTGTACTTAATAAATAATTGAAAGATTTCTTCAAATCTTGATATATCTTACACTTCATGGAATATCACCATTTACTCACAAAATGTTGTGAGCTCCACATTGATGACTTTATTTGTAATGGATCAGAATGGCGATATTGTTTTTTTTTGAGTTAAAGTTAATTTAATTATATTTGGTGCCTTATTACAAAGAGTTTCTTCTTACTATTGTACAAGTTAGAACATTATTCTATTGAATGTTGCAACGCAGCTTGAGGCCACTGGTCAAGGACGATTTTATTATAAGCTAATCTAATCCGATCGAGACCGCTATTCAATCATGTATAACAATTAATATTAATCCTACCATCGATATCTTTAAGTCAATCTTAAAAATTTTGGGGTCATATTGCATAAGCACCGAAAAAAAACTAAGCCTGGAACAAAATTTTCTGTTCTCTACTCATTTTTTTACTAATTTTCCTGATAGCGCACAAATCGTCCGAGTGGAACATACTTATTTCTATAAACATTATTTTAAACTTTTCTTAATAATAATTTAAATTAATAATTACTCAGTTTCTTAATGAAGACGGAATCTATAAGAATTTTGAATTAGTAATTGGCAAATTTATTTATGATTAAACTTGAATAAATATATACCTCTGTTTATGCTTCCACATGTGAGTTTTCTTCTAAAATTTATTATTGACACTTTATAAATCTAAAACGATTTTAATTAAAGTATCGTGAACGCATTGCATCATATATCGTGACTATTATATGTGGTGTGGTTTACAATTATTCATAAAATTTATTGCATTAAACACGCTTTCTGCAAGGTTAATTCAATTATGCAACTATTGTATGAAAATTATATTTTTTTACATATTACTTTCATGCGGTTTAGATGCAAGATTTACTAATTTATTTTATTTTCTTCTTATGTAGCCAATATTAAACACGTGGAAATATTTAAAAAAAATAATGCATAATCTTTATATTTTCGACTATGAAGGAGATGTATTCTAGTAAAGAACATCATAATATTCAAATACGAAGCGATCCAAATAATTCAAGATAAACTTTGACTTTTCGTCAAATATACACATAACACATACTACGCTAATAACACTTATAAAATATTTTGATTTTAAGACCAAATGCCACAAACTGAATCAAATAATGAATATTATTTCATATATTTTTATTTTTTTAGAGTCATATATTAAAACAATATATAACACTGACTAAAAATTATCAAATTCTCAAGAATAGTTCATTTTTATTTTGGCGAATGGAAGATTTATACAACTTTTCAAATATCCCAAGGGGCTTCGTTGAAACTGAAGTTTTTCGTTGATTTTTAAGCAAAAAACTGATTTGTTTACTTCACTAATTTGTTATTAATACGAATTCACAAATGATTTGAGAAAACCCCGTCGATGCTCGGTTTTGTGATTCATAGAAATTTTGACGTCGGTTGCAGCGGCTCTATGCGTATTTTTAGTAGTCGATCTGGTGGAAAAATTTGCAAAAATGTACTGTTGGGTAAGTTGTAGTAATCGCAAAAAAAAAAATGGAAAATGAAAATTTTTATATATCTTTACATTTCAAAGGTTTTTGAACATTTTGATATGCCTTAGATAAAAATGAATGTGTGTGTTCGGATGCAATGTTTTGTCGACGATTTTCTGAACCGGTTTGAATAAATCAAAAAATTTGAGTCCTATTGATGGCGGAACGTACTGATTAGTTTTTGGCAAAGGTAGATCTAGCAGTTTTGGAGATACGGGGCAAAAAGTGCAAAAAATAATCATTCATTTTTTGAGATAACGGAGCGTCCGATTTGAATGATTCAAAAAACATTTGACAAAATGAAGAACTGATGAAATTTTCGGGACGGCAGGTCTAGCAGTTTCGGAGACCCAGTAAGGAAAGTAAACTAGTGGGGTGCATAGCATAGTGCCTTAAGCCAAATTGCTGGAACTTCCCGCACCGTTAAAAATCTTGGTACGGAACCCAAAGAAATTTACACAAAATGTGTACACATTATTAAAATCTCTATAAAATATCTGATAATTTTATATACATATAAAGTCCAATAAACATTTTTGACCGTCAAATGACATTTTTTTAACTTATTTTTATTGAGAGTCCATAACCGCTGGACCTGCCTTCCCAAAAATTTAATCAGTTCTTCATCTTGTCAATACAAGTAAAATGTTTTTTGAATTATTAAAATCGGACGCTCCGTTCTCTTAAAAACTGAGTTACCGTTTTCGGCACTTTTTGCTCCGTATCTTCGGAACGGCTAGACCTGCCTTCGCCAAAAACTAATCAGCACGTCTCCTCATCAATACGAATCGAATGTTTTTTGAAATATTCAAATCGGTTGATCCCTGTTCTCGAAATCGTCGACGAAAATTTGTATCTGCACACACACACACACACACGCATACACACACATACATCCATTTTTTCTATGGTATGCTAATATGTTCAGAAACCTTTGAAACGTAAAGATATATAAGAATTTTCATTTTCGATTTTTTTGCGATTACTATAACTTACATTACGGTAAATTAAAAAGTGGCATTTGACGGTCAAAAATGGTCATTAGACATCTACATCAAGTTGATAGATATTTATTAATAGTTATTTTAGAGTTCAAAAAACTATTTTTTTTTTCAAAACTTTCAAAATTCTAAAAAATCTATTTTTGCAAAGTTTTGGTATGCATTTTACCTTAAGCCACGACGATGCCATGCACCTCCAGTTCGCTTGTAAATTTGTTTTATTTTTAATTCCGAATGCAAAAATTTCATCTTTCTATTAATTTTGATCGAAATGAGCCCCAACTCTGTCTCTATTCGGCTTGTGCCCCCATTGTTTCGGAGTGGGGCTACGACTTTTTGATTTTATCGAGTAGTAGGTGTGCGTTATAAGCGTGCTCTCTTAGAGAAGTGCTTCCAGTAGTACCCTGCGGTTATCGTCGGTGTGTCGGTGTGGAAAATCATCGAGGACTATTTTGGGAAAATCTATATAGAAGAAAATTAGTGATAATTTTGTGTTCAGTGTGGTGCAAGGAAAAAACTAAATAACCAGTGAGTATAAATTTTTATTAATTTTTTTACAAATCTAATTAAGGTTTTATCCAATAAATTTTTAACTTCCCGAATGAGAAGTTTATGTTTTCATAAAAAAATCCGATTCGCTAATTTTATGTTTTCTCGACGTTTCAAGTCATTCTGAATCGAATGAGACCAAATTTGGAAAAAGTATGTGTGTGTGTGTGTGTATGTGAACAGATTTTTTTTTAAATTTTTAATCCAATTGAAATGCTTTTAAAGATGTTTAATTGATTAATTCAAACAAAAGAGAAAATATATAAATGTGCAATTTTATTTCATTGATATGCCTAAACCAATTAGATATTGTTACTAAAACAATGGTATTCATTTTAAAATAATTATTTAATTATATAGAAACTTACATTTTTTTCATATAAATTAAATAATAATAATAATTTATTAAAAGTTAAATTTTTCAAATATGATATATGTACAGTCTACAGTAGCTCGATTTATGTGAGTTATTTAGAAACTTTACAAATTAAATAATTTTTAAAATTTACAAATTATATATTATCATCATTACATTATAGTCAAGTTTTAGTTTGTATTTTTTACCTGGAAATTTCTTTTACAAAGGCCTTTTATAGCGCACAAAACATTTACTCAACCAAATTATAATAATTGTATTAGTTAACGGTTAAATATAGAGATTTATTGCAAAAAATATTTCCAATTGACATTAAAGTATTATTCCACTTTTGATCAAATTATAATAGTTGTATTATTTAAAAATATTAAGTATAGAGATTTAGATTAAATATAGAGACTTATTGCAAAACTTACTTCTAAATTAATCTAAAGTATTATTCCACATTTGATTTTGATTTTGTTCAATTTTTCAAGTAACACATTTACTAAATTTATAAATTCTAACTATTCAATCTTTATATTTATAATTTAGTTAATTTTATTAACTAAATTATAAATCTTTCATCATTCAACAAGTAAAACTGATAACAAAATCTTGTATGCGAAGGTCAATTATCTCAATAAATGTAAATTGCACATTTCTGCATTGAAATATCAATTAAATACAAATCGATAATAAATTAAAAATTATTCAGATACTTGATTGAACCGGATTTTATGAGTAACTTTTTGTATTTTAGTTTGAGTTATCTGAAAACTTTTATAGTACTCAAATGCAATTTTTATATTATTATTACTCTGAATAACTGTTATATATTAGTTTGAATTAGCAATTTTTATATTATTAATTTTTTTTTTCAGAATATGGAGGCACCAGAATTTAAGGATTTTGCTAAGGAGATGATTGATTATGTTGCTGGATATCTTGAAAATATCAGAGATAGGTAAGTTATAGTAATCTAACTTATTCTTTAAATCTGAATAATTATTATTGATATTTTTGGAACAAATATGGAAATACTAAAATAGAAAAAAAAATCCTTGAATAATATATTTAATTAATTTGGTGTTATATAATATCTAATCATACAATCAATATCAGATTTTTTTGAATTAAATATATTTTTATTCAATGCAAATATATTAATAATTGATGGCCTTTACATCATGGAATTTTTCTTTTTATTTCATTTTTACAAACATGTAATATTTTGGCATTTTGTAGGATTCTTCTGTTTAATTGTTTCTAACATAATTGAAGTAATTTATTCTCAATTACCTGATTTATTGAAGTGGTATTAATGTCATAAGATATCATATCAAAGTCATAAAATACAATTGCACACAAAAAAAGACTAAAAATTAAAACTTTAAATTAATACATTTTTTGTACATGTTTTTATACATTCATATAACAATTTTATTTCTACGTTATAAATAATCACTTAAATATATTATATTATATTATATTATATTATGTATTTATTTATAATTTAAAAATTCTATTTATTTATGAGTATATAAACTAGTTTTCATTTAAATTAGTCTTAAACTTTTATTTATGTATAATGTGCAATTGTATTTTTAATAATTATATTCATATTTAAATTCACAAACTTTTCCAGTAAATTAATTAATTGTGATTAAATTACTTTAATTATTTTATGAACAATTTAGCAATATTGAAATGTTTTACTTATTGTTAGCAACGACTCGAAGATTTTTTGTAATTAATAAGTAGGAGTATAACAAATTAATTTTTAGGGATATTATAAATATCAATCAAAACATTAATACAATTATTATTAATACAATTTTATCAGCTAATGAGATAAATTAAAATAAAGCATATATTATTTTTTAAAAAATGTTCAGAAATCATCTCAGTGAGTAATTTTCTAATTAAGGCTGAGGCAGATCCATAAATCAAAATATTAATACAATTATTATTAATACAATTTTATCAGCTAAAGTGATAAATTAAAATAAAGCATATACTATTTTTAAAAAAATGGTCAGAAATCATCTCAGTGAGTAATTTTCTAATTAAGGCTAAGGCAGATCCATAAATGATTTTTTACTATTTTTATAAGCTATTATGATAAATTATAATATAGCTAATATCATTTCAAAATAAATGTTTGGAAATCACCCCAAAGAGTGATTTTTGAGTCAAGGCTTAGGCAGATCCACAAATGATAAAAATATTATTATTATAAATGTCTTCTTATTGATCTGATTCATTTACTAATAATCTGTCGAGGGAATTCCCTGGTTCCCTGAGTTCATCTGACGTCGATCTTAAAGCGGTCTGATCGGATTTTCCTGACAGAAACGCCGGATTTTAATTTCCGTCGGGTCTTTGTGGCTTCGATGATCAATTAAAGTTATCGTGAAACTTTTATTGGGTAATTGTTCATAGGAAGGTTAACGCAGACAGACCGTAAAAGACAAGTCGAAACGATGCAATATCTACCTTTTGTACATGAATTGTGGATTTAATAATACAAATTAATGTCAATCACCTTTATTTCAATGTTGAATATAAATGTTGTATGAAGAAATTTGAGGTAATTTGATTGTACTGATCTTTATTACAACGGAAAGGGCATAAAATTAAGGTGACCATATTTTTTTGCGGTCAAAACCGGGACAGGGTTTTATAGGCATTAGGAGTGTTGTAAAACTAACAAATGCTATTTAAGGATACAATAAAAACAGTTTTTATAGGTTTTTTTTAAATCAGAATTGCGAACTTTTAGTAAGATCTTTATTATTCGATTATATGTAGTAGATCCTACACTTTTCGCTCTTGAGCCTTGTGTAAAATTCTATTTCACTTTCTTCATAATTAATTTGAAAAAAAAATAGCACTTGTTCATTTGTTTTCATAAATTTTGGTAATTTACATATTAATTTTCAACAAGCCCCGGGGTAAAGATCTAAATTCGGGAAAAATATTACATTTAGAAAAACCGGGGACACAATAAGGTGAAAATCTAGGGCTCTCCAGGCCAAACTGGGGCGTATGGTCACCTCAATAAAATTAACAAATCAGGGCGTTGAATTCTGAAGTAACCATAATAAAAAATGATATACATGAACGCAAATTGTCTATTTATAAAATTATTCCAAAATGTAAAATTTAAATCTTGCTTGCTTCACTGATTGTGAAGGAACACAAAATACACTAATCAGGATATTTTATTTTTAGTCATTCATATTAAAACGCATATTTTTCGTATACTTGCATGCAAAATACCCATTTAAACAATACTTATGGTCTTAAATAAAATCTCATTTTTTTCCAAGAAAGTATCTTACATGACAATTATTTAAAAGGGAACACTACTAACTTCTTTTCATTTTTAACAAGAGATTTATTTTGTAGCAAAAATAGAATGCAACTGAGGAGCAAACAAAATCTCGATCTATAAAGTATATAGACAAAAGTGATTAATTATATTCATTTTAGCTTTTGTACTAAGGTAGAGACAACATTTATTCTATCATATTTTTTAATATTTTTATTTGGTGAGAACGTACTCTAATGCATCTCCAATGTGTTTCTGAATTTAAGAGTAGGTGCCGATGAAATATACTCAATGACATTTCTTTTTTTTTTTCTATTTTTTTTTTCTTCGTGTTTTTGTCGAATTTAATCAGATCTAAAATTTCATAATACCGTTATTTGTGTATATTATGTATACATATATATCTCGATTATCACCTGTCGCTTTCTGGAGCTGTAATAACGAAAGCGTTCATTGGCACATTTATTCGCGTCAACCTTGGGAGTACTTTTACTAAACCGGATTTCTTGATGAAATTCTTATTTCTTCACATCGCCTTTGAAATAGATTATAGATTCCCGTTGTTTAATCACTATTTTAATCGATAATCGAAAATTTAGCCATCGATGTACAGAATAACATGATTTAATAAGACTTGGAACTAGATCATAGTAATCAACTAGTGGGGTGCATGGCTTTGTGCCTTAAGGCAAATTGCTCGAACTTCCCGTACCGTAATAAAATGTTCGAGTAATATTAAATGTTTTTAAATAGATTATTATAAATACTGTAGCATTGTTTATTTATAAGAATTATATAAACTGAATTGCAAAGTTGTGCAGAAAGCCAGAATTTTTAAGCAGAAAGTTTTTTGAATCATTCAAATCGGACGCTTAGTTCTCTCAAAAACTGCCATTTTTTGCACATTTAGCTCTGTATCTCCGAAATGGCTGGGCCTGCCTTTGCCAAAATCTAATCACATCTTCTCCCAATCATTACAAATTGAATGTTTTTTAGATCATTCAAATCGGATACTCCGTTCTCGCAAAAACTCGATTTCTATTTTCAGCACTCTTTGCTCCTTATCTCCGTAACGGCTGAACCTGTCTCTGCCAAAAACTAATCAGCACATCTCCCTATCAATAGGAATCGAATGTTTTTTGAACCAAAAACGAACGTGGACAAAAAAATGCGGACATACAAAACACACACACACACATCCATTTTTTCTGAGTTATGCCAAAATGTTCAGAAACCTTCAAAACGTTATTTACCTATATATATTCAAGGGTATTTTATAAAATTTGTTAAAATAGACAGCCGAACAAATATTGAATTTAACAAAAAAAATTTAAAATGCCAGTTTACTTGTGCATTTGTATTTTGCAAAACAAATCAAACTTTATCAGATTATTGAAAAAAATCAATAAATTACATCCAGCGATAATAATTGTTTTCTCTTGCATAAAAACTGGATTCAATAAAAATATATTATCGTTAAAATAAAAACTATACTCATATACGTCTGTTTAAAGAAATTCTTTTTAGTTTTACTTCAAATGCTTATAAATTGTCACTTAGTCTAGACTACAGCATAACGTAAATTTAGTAAATTTATTTAAATTATATTCAAGATTTGTTTAAATAAACAAAGATTTGATAGTTTTGTTTGATACTGAAACATTCTTACCAATTTTATATAGTCAGATATATGATTTTTTGCTGGAGATTAATGATATTTATTATTTTGTGCTAACTGAATGTGATGTGAATGTGAACTGTGAATGAATATTTATTTCATTGGATTAAATATATAAAAATATTGTTTTAATTTAATGCACATACTTCTTAATTCATTATTCATTTTTCTTACAATATTTTTTATTTCGGAATTTTATTTATAGGCGTGTTCTGCCGACTGTCGAACCAGGGTACATGAGGCCTCTCCTGCCAGAAAGTGCTCCTGAAGAACCAGAAAAATGGCAGGATGTCATGGCCGATATTGAACGAGTTATTATGCCAGGAGTAACACATTGGCATTCTCCTAGATTTCATGCTTATTTTCCAACAGCTAATTCTTATCCTGCCATTGTTGCAGATATTTTAAGTGGTGCCATTGCTTGCATTGGATTCACATGGGTAAGTGACAGACAAAATATGAAAATGGTGTAAAAAATCATTTTTGTAACATTTGGTTATGAGCTACTCATAAAATTTGGTATAGAAGGTATGTTTAGTCATACAAAATAAATTTTAAAAAATGTTACAAAAAATGATTTAATTTATTAAAAGAAATTCAAGTCTATTAATCACATGAGACTTGGGGGAGGGAGAGTTTGACTAAAAATCACGAAATATCACGCGGAGGAGGGAGGGGAGGGTTAGTGATATATCACGAGTATTTATTTTCTACCTGAATTCATTGAAAAAATGCAAACATTTAAAAAAAAAACTCAAAAATTTTACCATTTTTTCTTGTAACTAAAATACACGTAATGTTTGGTGGGGAGGGGGGTTAATATTGAATATCACCGTATCACCAAGAGAGGGGGAGGTTCCAAAAATCGTTAAAAAATCGATCACGTGATTAATGTACGCCCCCAAAGGATAAAAATAATGCTCCACATATATTTTATGTATTATATATAATTTTATATGTAAATAATTTATTATTGCTTTCAAAAATGTCTCGCAGTAATTTCACTTTCGTTTTAAACTTATATTTTATTGCAAACTGTTTATTTACCAGATAAATGACTAGTCATAGTTGTTCATTACACAATAACTGTAACTGATTGCGCATTGTGCAAACATATTACAATATCTCCAGAAGGTCTTTCTGATCTTGGTGAATGGACACGTTAATTTACACCTAATTTATTGCATGCGGATTATTATTCTTAGCTACATTGAAATAGTTGTAGAAGTTTTAATGAATATTGGGGCATAAGTAATTATTGAAAACCAAAATTTAACAAATATTAAATTTTCTAACAGAAATCATCGTGAATTTTAAAATTTTTGGTCAGCAATAACGTTAATTTATGTCGCCCGTAATTATAAATTTATTAGATCGCGAGTCCAGCTTGCACAGAGCTTGAAGTTTTAATGATGGATTGGCTGGGAAAAATGCTGGATTTGCCACCTGATTTCCTTGCTTGTTCAGGTGGAAAGGGCGGTGGTGTCATTCAAGGTACCGCCAGCGAAGCCACTTTGGTTGCTTTACTTGGAGCAAAGGCCAAAATGATGAGAAAAATTAAAGAGGAACATCCTGAGTGGGATGAGGCAACTATTATTTCCAAACTTGTCGGATACTGTTCAAGTAATAATAGAAAATAAATATGATATTTTGTAATAAGTTGCGCAGCCTAATTAATGATAATTTTTTTTTTCAGAACAAGCGCATTCCTCTGTAGAACGAGCAGGGCTCCTAGGCGGCGTTAAATTGCGCCTCCTAGAATCCGACGAAAAATTCAAATTGCGTGGAAAAACTGTTGAAGAGGCGATCAAGGAAGATCGCAAAAATGGTTTAATTCCATTTTATGTCGTAGCCACATTGGGTACAACAAATTCATGCGCCTTCGACCGTCTGGATGAAATAGGGCCAGTTTGCAACGATTTAGGTGTATGGTTACACGTAGATGCTGCTTACGCAGGTTCTTCATTCATTTGTCCAGAGTTCAGATATCTGATGAAGGGTATAGATTGTGCAGATTCCTTCAATTTCAACCCACATAAATGGATGTTGGTAAATTTCGATTGTTCGGCTATGTGGTTGAAAGATCCGAATTGGGTGGTCAACGCTTTTAACGTCGATCCTTTATATCTGAAGCACGACCAACAAGGTTCAGCACCGGATTATAGGCATTGGCAAATACCTCTTGGAAGAAGATTCAGGGCTTTAAAATTGTGGTTTGTTTTGCGGTTATATGGAGTTCTAAATTTGCAAAATTTTATCAGAAAACACATAGCTCTCGCGAAAGGTTTTGAACAACTCTGTTTAGCTGACGATCGTTTTGAAATTGTCGCAGAGGTTTTGATGGGCTTGGTATGCTTTCGATTAAAAGGATCGAATGAAATAAACGAAAAGCTTCTGAAACGTATCAATGGTAGAGGTCGTATTCATTTGGTACCGTCTAAAATTGATGATATTTATTTCTTAAGAATGGCTGTCTGTTCGAGATATAGCGAAATGAGCGATATGGAAGACAGCTGGAAAGAGATCAGTGCCACTGCAGATGAGATTTTGGCCCAAGAAAACAAGTAAATATTAGTTCATAGTTGTTAATAACGATGTATCAAAGTTATTGAAAATCCTGTACAAATTATAATTTGTAAATACTCCTTTATCCATATAGTATTTATTTGCATATTCATAATAATAGCTTCTTATGAAAATTTTAATTTCGTACCGATTTTAGTATTATTTCAGAATTAATTCTATACATTTTATCCATTTCCATGACATTTAACTGAGCATTTCTATAAAAATGTATTTATTAGTTAGTTAATTTTATTTAATATAAATTTTGTATTATGTGTGTTTGTGATAAGTCAGTTGTTAAACGTGAGACAATCGTATTCAAATATTTAATGTTGAAACTGTTATGTACTATACCAAGATGGGATCAAGCATGTCATATGCCTGTATAAAAATTGTTAAGCCAAATATAAAAGAATATATATAAAGTAAAATATTATAAAATTAAGTCGAAATTATGTGTCAAAAATAAACATGTTGAAAATAATATGATCAAAGATTTTGTTATTAGTTATTTTATTCTTACACAATTTTTCGGGTACAATTCACGTATATTAAATGACTTTATATAAATATAAAAATTGTTCCAAATCGATCTACAAAATATTGAATTTGACGGTAAAAGGTATATAAACATCTGTATATTATTTCTTATCGTGTTTTAAACTTTCTGATAATTTTTTAGTCAAGTGTCCAATTCGCTCTGCTTCTCGAATGCCACTAATTCGTGCGCCTTGTACAGATCCAAAATGACCAGGACTTGTTGCTTCACCAGCAAATAATAATACTGGTGGTATTGATTGATTGTGTGGTGGCAAAGAATCTGCTAAATATATGGGATGTGTGATCTTTGAATTTTTTTCCATGTAACTGTGCGCTCCACAAAAATACTGATTATTACTCCATCTCGAACGTAATATATTTTTCGGTAAAGGTACGCTAGGGTTCGAAGAAACTTGTTTCAAAATTCGAGTTATTACTAAAGCAACTTCGTTATCCGCAGCTGTGTTCATTAAGGTAGCATCCGGACCTGATACAACTGCATGAATAACATGCTGGGAATTATCGCATTTTTCAATTAATCGAATGCCTTTTGCCCAATCTTTTTCCGAAGCAAGTTCATCAGAATCCCAAAAGTAGCATAAGTCATCGGCTTTATGCCAATCTTTTAAAGGAGTTTCGTATTCCATAAACACTTTTTCTACTATGTCGTAACCTAGGTCTTGAATTGCTTGCATTTTTTCGAATGTTAAAGCTGGTTTGAAAAACTTGTGTGCGTTTCTTTTAAGGTATCCCAACGACATAGTAACAATTACAAAATCTGCTAAAATCTCCTCCCCATCGACGCATTTTACTAATGCCCTTCGGGCTCCATCATTATTCCATGTTATTGTTTCTACAGGCTTTTTATAGCAAACAGAACCTTTAGGTAAACCTTGTAACAAAGGTGTAACTCCACCAACATATCCAGATGGGATGGTGTCCGATTCAATTGGCTGAGGTTTCGATTCTGTAATTTTCTTTACAGCTTCTTCACTTGTTTTAATTTCAGAAGGTGGTATTACATCTAAATCTTCAGTCCAAGGAGCTCCCAAATCAGCAAAGATGTCTCCAAACCATCTGGAGTCTACACGCCCTCCTGGTCTGAAAATTAAAAGCAATAAATTTTTGAAGTTATGCATGAACAGCAATTCAAATAGTTAGTAGATGAAATATTCTAAACTAGTAAATATTATTATCTAAATAGGGCCAAACCTATCTGTTGCCTCTAGTACTGTGATATTTCGAAATCCAATTTGAGTGAGTCTTTTGGCCGACGACAAGCCAGCAATCCCGGCACCAATAATAATAATTTTGGGCTGTTCTTTGCAAACTTCGATGGGACATACTTGTGCTTGGTTTTCTGAATTTTCGCGCTTTGCAGTTAGTGACGCCAATGTTAATATGGGGCAATTCAATTTTTCTTTTGGTAACTGATTATCACAATTGGCAGGCGTTGTGCGGAAAAGTCTAGATGTCGAATCTCTATAATATGAATGTTAGATTGATATTACGAATTTATAATATCGTTTTGAAATGGAAATGAATATTTCAATCAAATATTTCGCTCTGACATATGAGTGATGTATATTTGAAAGATATCTGTATTACCTTATAATTCTTGAAGCGGAATTTACAATTGATTTTAACTTAAATGGAAACATTATAAAATTGCATTATTACAATAAAAATTTAATATAAAAAATATAAATTATATAAAATATTCAAAAAATTAATTTTCATTTGTTTTTAAGTGAATGCGCTCCCACGATATTTATTCTGTGTATCTCTATATTGAAAATTTTGAAAGTAACAAATTATTTAATGCTGTTAATATAACTATAATTTATTCACACAGTCGATTTATCAACTGCTTTACAAATGAATCTTCTCTTTTCTTAAACACATACTTTTATTATATTATAAGATTACTTATATTATTTAGAACAGAAGAATGAAACATTTATTTAAATATCACATTAGATTTATTGCACAAAAGTTATACTACAAGAAAATATTCGTCCACCAAGATAACTGAACGATATTTGCAACAGATCATTTGCAATTGCAAGAGTTTTCTATTGTATAAATAAAAATATAACAGCAAGTCGACTCATAAATTTCTATCTTTTATTCCAAATCACGCTTTACTTGTTGGTGGTCCTCCAAATTTTCTAGTTAACTGAATTATGCGTTCTGCTTCTCTTATGCCACTTAATCGAGCTCCGTGTACTGTTGCAAAATGTCCTGGGCTGGTTGCTTCGCCAGCAAATAATAATATAGGTGGTATAGGATCGCAAGGGCCTGGCAAAGGTGCACCTAAGTCACACTGATGAGCCACTGTAGAATCCATTGCCATAAAACTATGGGCGCCGCAGAAATGGGTATCTGTACTCCAGCGAGATCTCAAAATAGATTTAGGGTAAGGTAAACTTGGGTCACCTGTGAATTGTCGCAAGACTCTTGTTATAACTGCAGCGACGTCGTCGTCAGACGCTAGTTCCATTTTAGCTGCTTCGGGACCGGCGACAACAGCGCATAAAACATGCCTACTGTTAGGACATTCTTCAATAGAACAAAGACTCTTACCCCAGTCAGTTCTGTCTGACAATTCTTCAGCGCTCCATGCAAAACGGAGTTCTCCCTCGTGCCATACCCAAAATGGTTTGGCGTATTCTAGATATATTTTATTTACGCTTCCGTAACCTAAGCGCTTTATGGCTGCCATTTTTTCAGCAGGTAAAGCTGGACAAAACAGTTGGCTTGAGTGTTGCTTGAGACATCCTAAAGATATCGTGACAATAACATAATCTGCTGGATGTTCTTCGCCGTCACAGCATTTGACAACGGCTCGAGGACCTGAATCAGATACGGCTCCCCAACGAATACAACTTACAGGTTTGCAATATCTAACCGCACAGTCGGGCAAGGCACGTAAAAGTGGCGCTAAAACACCTACGTAACCAAGGGGAACACGTATACGTCCTCCAGGAATGTCTATATAACTTCCATATTGATCGGCGCTTACGTCTGACAAATCGGCGCCGAATCTGCCTCTTGATGCATTGCTCAGACCATACATAACACGAGCGGCATCGTAACGCGATTCTATCGGGAAATGATGAAGTTCCTGCTGGATACGTAGATCGACGAAATTGAGCAATGATCCATGTGGACGTCCGCATGCCATGAACAAAGCGCTTGCTTGTCTTTCGATATTTTGATAAGCGTGATAGGCCGTGATACTGGTGGTCAAGTCTACAGCGCGTCCGTCGCTTGTGCAGAATAGACCGCGGCTTGGATCAGGCCTGGATAATGGATGCTGGAGCAAACCTTCTTGCGACGCCAAATTAAAGATTGGATTTGCTATACTGCCGCCTTCTATCCATTGAGCACCCATTTCCGCGACCACATCACCCAACCAGCAGGAGTGAATTCTGCCACCAGGTCTGGTGAAAAACATATTAGATATAAAGTATAAGAAGTGGGAGAAAATCAATTTAATATTTTTTAAAAATTTACTTAATTTATTTAAAGATAAATAATTACTAACATAAAACGCTAAACAAACTTGTTTGAAAGATGATTGAATATTTTATTTTTCAGCGCCTTGGTTAACGTTAATGATATGATCATATATGATTATATTATTGATGGTTAAGTATATTATAAAGTTTTACCTATCTGTGGCTTCCAAGACTTTGAAATCTTTTAGGCCACATTGTACGAGTCTCTGTGCCGCCGATAGACCAGCTACTCCTGCTCCAACAATTACAATTTTCGGCTGCTTCTTGCAGACGTCCACCATACACGCTTCAATCATACATTCTTCTAGATTATCCGGCTGCTTTGCCGCTGGTTCTCTGCACTTATTCACATTGGCAAGATCTGATTTACCAGGGCATGAAGACTTCTTGTCTTGTTTCTGAGATCCTGCAGGCGATTTTACACATTTTTCCGAAAAAGCAAAACTAGATGTACTGATCAGCCTGTAAAATTTCACGAAACGCCTTTATGTGACATTATATAAATTTCATTAGCAAATATGTTTGACGTACCTCATGAACCGTTTAATACGAAATCGAAACAGTTTCCTGGTAAACCCGATCATTATATTTTTTTGGTATTTTGTTCAAATAACTTAGAATTTTTAAACCATGAAAGAAAAATTTAGTACATTTTGGCGGACTTATGAAATACAATGTTTGTTTTTGTTTCGGAATAAAACAATGTAGTTTGAGACGTGACTTGGTATTTTGAGTAAATCGTATAAAATTTGATTTTAGGGTTCCGAAATACTTGGATTTAAATAGAACGCTCATGAAAAATACAAATTTTAGAATCTTTTTGTAGATTTTGACTATGAAGTGTATTTTGGCATTTTAAAATGGAATTATTGCAAGTTTCTGTTCAAAGATAACTAGATCAAAATAAATATTTTGAAAGATTGAATGTCAAAAAGGATTTGCAAATAAATTTCACAATAATAATAATAATAATATAAATATAAATATAAATACATATAAATATAAATATAAATATAAATATAAATATAAATATAAATATAAATATAAATATAAATATAAATATAAATATAAATATAAATATAAATAAAATATAAATATAAATATAAAATATAAATATAATATAAATATAAATTAAATATAAATAGAAAAAGAAATAGAAATGTAAATGTAAACATAGATATAAATATAAATATAAAAATAAATATAAATATATTTATCACTCTAGCTTAGCAAACATTATTGAATTCTAAATGTAATTAGAAAATGAACGAATAAATAAAAAAAATTAAATTAATTTAATTTAATTATGATTAATTGTGTTTGAACTGTACATATTATATTATATTATATATATTATATATATATATATATATATATTTAATGATAAATTTGAATGTGTATTAGCTAAAGCCTAATAAATATTAAGTAGATAAATAAATAGAATAAATAAATATTAAGTAGATATATAAAATTTAACATGTTATTTTCTCACAAACTTTGAATAAAATAAGTTTGAAATAAAGTATTTAAAAATTGTATTTAAGAAGTTGTATATTCAATATAAATTTGGAATGAATTATCTAATATAACATTGATTAATTAGAACAAATTAGAAGCTATAATTTTAAAATTCGATTTGTTACTGCTTTTCATACTCTGCTTCATATTTCAAAAGTAACGGTTTATTCTTGAGTTTCATTTCTTTCAGTTGCAGGTTGGCACCCTGCTGATGAGTAATGTGCTTAGAACTGTCAAAATTTTGACATTTTTGCTCTTTATTTGTCTTAAGATAATAAATATTTTAAAGATTGTTTTATAAATGTTTGGAAGAAAAAAAGAAACTCCTAAACGGAGAAATGGAAAAGGTTTGGCACAAGTAAGTTTTAAAAATAGACAAAATGCAAAAGCTATTTTATTTTAACAACAGCTTAATGTAAGCTATAAGACAATTAGCCTATTAAAACCAATTAATTCATTTAAAATGATGATGCGCAATAGCCAATCTTTTCAAAGAATAAATTTTAATACAAGTGCGACGATAAACCAAGATATCCAATGGAATTTAAACAAGTAAAACTTTAAATTTCGTTTTATGCCATAAATTTTTTATATCAAGTTTCTGTGAACGTTTATTAATCATTTTTTTTTGTAACACTATGTCTAACAAGATTATATTTCATTCTATTCTTTATTGAATTTCTTTATATTTTAGTATGGACTTTTTGATATACCGGATCCTAATTTGGACGATGACGCAGGAAGTGATGATGATGAAAATGATGATGATCTTGAAGCGGAGTTAGCTGCAATAACAGCTGGTTCAAATCCTAAGCCAAAACGTAAACCAAAACCAAAACCAGATCCTATGGCTGTTGATCTTGATGCAATGATTGCAGAAAGTATGAAAGATATTGGCTCTGATGAAGAATTATCAGGTATAACTCATTAATATATCTTGTATTCAAATAATATACATTAATATCATCAATATACATAGTATTGTTTTTTGGTCAAATTTTTATTAATTTCATTCATTTCATTTCATCAAGTTTTATTAATTCTACAGGTGATGATGATGACCCTGCATTGTTGAATGAATTATCAGAGATTACTGGAGAAGATGAAGGTGTACAAGAAGAACCAGAAAATACTACTCCTATAATACCCACTTCAGATCCAAGTACAGCTATGGTTAGTCTTCTAGAAGCGCGTTTGGAAATGTATAAAAAAGCTGAAGCCATAGCTAAGGGTGCAAATGAAACCAGCAGAGCAAGACGTTTTAATCGTGGCATTAAAACTATAAACGACCTTTTAAAACAAGCTCGTGCTGGAAAAAGTATTAACCCTGAGGACATTCCACCTGAAGTAAGTACAGGTGCCAGGCCTGAAAAACCAGCTCCAGCAGAAAATGCTGCTCCTCAGGAAGAACCTCCAGCAACTGAAGAACCTCCTGCGCCTGAAGAAACTCCTGCAACTAATGGTGAGACCGAGTAAAAATTTTGGATGAAAGATTTATTACAAGAAAATTGCCTTAAAGTAGAATATTTAGTTAAGATTGTAAAAATCTTATATGCACGCTTGACTGATTAATTTAACATGACTTGAAAAAAGAAAGGCTAACATATTTTTCTTCAAATGATTGCAAATCGGAATTACCAAGTATATTTTTGCATACCCTAAATTTTTTATTACAGTTAAAATTTTAAAATATATATATTGTTAAATAATTTTCTAATATATGTAATTTATTTTATATCAATTTATGATTTTTTTATAAATAATGATAAATAGTATATTTTGGAAATGAATGATTTCTATTTTAAATATGAGTATTATGCATTTGCTTTTATACATGTATTAAAGATTTTTAATTGATAATTTTGTAATAATTAGTATTGTCAATTATATGGCTTAATATTTAACAAATATAGATATGCAATATAAAAAATTGTTGTTATTCAATTTACTTTCATTACATAAACAAAAATTAATTAATACTCTATATTGTTATATGTTATAAGTCCTGATCAAAGTTTGATTTTTCATATTTTTAGAGTTATCTCCAACAGAACCTACCAAAGTAGAACCAGAAACAGATCCAAAAATTGAATTATTGACCACAAGAAAGAATGAATATAAAATGGCTGCATTGGAAGCTAAGAGAAGTGGTGATTCACAGACAGCTTTGAAATACATAAAAATTGTGAAACAATTTGATTTGGTCATAAATGCTTTGACGAACGGAGAAGTTGTTGATCTGAGAAATATGCCTGGACCACCAGGTTCTGATGTACCGTCTCCTCCAAAGGAGGACAATCTTACACAAAAATCTGCAGATCCAAGTAAGTGTAATGATAATTTAAACATAAATATACTGATGGCTAAAAATATATCTTCATTTTGGTATACAATTTTTTTGTGTAATTTATTGTGTGTACATTTTCTATTTAAGTTAGCCCAGTCCCGATAGCTTCTCAAGAGCCATCACCTGCTGAAGAAGAACCTGAAGTAGAAGAAGTGCTTATAAAAGCTTCATCAGTATTAGAAGCTTTAGAACAGCGACTAGAAGTATACAAAGCTCAAATGAATGCTGCAACGCAAGATAACAATTCTAGTAAGGCAAGACGTATGGGAAGAATTGTAAAGCAATTTGAACAAGTATGTAACATTTATTTTATATAATACATATGTATGTGTATGGAGTTTAATCAAGTTTTTATAAAAAAATATTTATTAGGCTATAAAACTACACAAGGCTGGTAAACCAATACCTGTTGATGAATTGCCAACACCACCCGGTTATGCTCCCATACCAATTAATCCAACAGTAAGTTCATTGCACAATACTATATTAAAAAGAAAACAATGTTTGAATTTAATTTTTTAATTAGGGTGGTGCAACCGCTCCAAGCGCTCCAGCATCTTCTATTTCTCCTAGACCGGAGCCTAAACCTGCACCACCAGTTCCAAGTACAAGTGAAAGCCAAGAAGAAGAAACCAAGCCAAAAATCTCTCCTAAACCTCCAGCAAGGAAAAGCGGAAATCAAACTACAACTTCACATACTGAGAAACAAGTATAATAAATAATCTTTACCTTCAATATATGATGGAATTAAAATATTATCTTTTTAAAGGCTCAACTTTTAATTGCGAGGCAAAAAGAGTTTAAACAAGCAGCACTTGCTGCCAAGCAAAAAGGTGAAATAGCACAAGCAAAAGAATTATTAAGAACAGCCAAAGGATTTGATCCTTTGATCCAAGCAGCCTTGGGGGGATTACCAGTCGATATGAAAACATTACCAATACCAAATTCAGCAAGAAGTCAGTTGGAAGATAGGTATCTTGATGATTACATATTTTTTGCACAAATAATATTTTATTTCATCATATTTTATTATCATATTTTAGCTTTGCATTTGTTAATGAAAACGATTGCACAGAAGGAGAAAATGATGGTTCAGATATATTGGCTCGATTAGAGGAACAATTATCAAGACAATTAAAATTATGTCTCAGTACCAGAGATCACCATAAAGCTATGGGAGACGTTGCTGGTACAAATAGATTTGAACAACTGGCATTATCTGTTACAAAAGATTTAGATGTAATTAGGTTATCTCAAAGGTTGTTATTAGATGTATTTATCAATTAATATTTATATATTGTTCTAACAATTAATTTAAATGCAGAAAAAATTTACCAGCTCCACAATTTCATTATGAAACAAAAAGTTTTAATGTAGTCCAGTGCTGCACAGAACTGGGTGATAATGATCTTGAAGTTACAATCGTCAAAGGTTATAATTATACGGTTCCAAATCCTAAGGAAGTAGACACTTATGTTAAAATAGAATTCCCATTTCCACAGGTGAGATATATTTATTATTTTTATTTTAATTTATTTATATTTAATTGTTTCAATTTTAGGATAGTCCATTTGTTGAATATACATCTCTAGTGAAGGATACAAATAATCCTGATTATGGTGCAACTTATACAATACCCATGCAAAGAACCAGCAGGCATTGTTTAAGGGTTTTTAAAAGGCATAATCTTAAATTAGATATTTATGCAAAACGGTAAGTTGTTGTTGCAATTTAAGTAAATTGGAATAAATACTTAACTTTAAATTTATTTTTATTGACCACAGTTTGGTTATTTTTTGCACATTATTCTTCCAATTTGCTTGAATCAAGTTGCTCTTACTATATTCAAAAATTAGGTCTAGTTGCTGGTGTTGTTTCAGTGGTTTCTTCAGAAGCGATGCAGTAATTGGGACTGTCAATGTTAAATTACAACCGTTAGAGACTAAATGTGTGCTTCATGATTCATTTCAAGTGAGTTATAATAAACATACAAAAATATTCAATGTATTATTATAATTATTATTATAATCTGTTTAGGTTTTTGATGGTAGAAAGCCAACTGGAGGCAAATTGGAAGTAAAACTTCGAGTACGCAACCCCATGCTTACAAAACAAGTAGAAAAGCTTACTGAAAAATGGTTAATTATTGATCATTAATTTATATACTCAGCTTTTTATGAAACTATATTTTATATAAAGGATATGTGTCTTCTAATGAATTCATGTTTTTAAATTTGTGATTGGATTTTGCCTTATATTTTATTAGAATAAATAAATTTGTAATTTATCATTTTTGCTTTGGAATGTATATCATAAGATAACTTGTATAATATTATGAAAAGGGCAAAAAATTTAACTGTGTTGGTAATATTAAACTTTTATAATTACAAAAATTGTTGATATTTATTGAAATAATATATAATGTATAATTTATAGAAATTTTTCATTGTTGCTGAGGGAGTTCATACAAATTTATATATTAAGAATTATAATTAGAAAAATTCAATTAAAAGTCTTTTATCTTGCTGAATTAAAGTGATTTTTAAATTATTCATATATACTATATAATAATGTTTGATACACTCTGCTTTCTAAATTCCTAAATGAGTAAATAGAGTTATAAAATATAAAAATATATTTTTTTATTTCATAGCATTTAGCTTCTCAATAGTTATTAGATAACTAATCCTTTAAATTCTGCATTTTTGAGTAAATAGAGAAATATGTAGTGCCAAGGTTGGACTTAAATTAATAGTAATGATTAGAAAAAAAATTCAAGGTTTATAGATTACAAACACATTTATAGGGGCCTTCATAGCAACAATGCTAATTTAATCTTCATATAATATCTATCCACGAATTTTTAAGCAAAGTTATTGCCGTTTTATTTTTATGAAATATTCAAATATATCAACAGAATGTAAAGTAATGGAATTGTTATAATAGAAAAGAAAATATAATATGAAATAACACAATGGTTTCTTATCGTACCATTCGTTTAAAAAAAAGGTTGTGTACCCCTGTTTCTTTTAATGATCTCATTTCATATTTGCCTTATAACCTATAAATGACATGTCAAATGTCACAATAATTTCTACGAACAAATGTAAATAGCTTTAGACTTCTAAATTAAATTATTTATTAAAATGTGGGGTGATACTTTACTGATAGTGTTCATTTCCATTTGCACAGCTCTATTGGGAGAAGGTGTGAAAGCCCATAATTTATATAATTTCATATACAATATTCTTAAGAATTTAAGTTTACTTAATAAGCAGCCTCTACTAGTAATTAAATGGAATTAATTTCAGGTCTGACATGGCTCATGGTATACAGAACAGAAAAATACCAAAAACTGAAAACTGAAGTAGAAAAACAAAGTAAACGATGTAAGTATGTAATTTACTGTATATGTAACTTACCATACATTGAAATTTATTAGCAGAAAAAATCTTAACATTACCTTTGATATTTTCTATTGGAACAAATAAAAAATTGATTATTATTTTTTATTTTAGTGGAACGAAGGAAGGAAGCTCACGGCGACTCTTTAGATAAGCAGCATAAGAAAAAAATTGAACGTGATGAAGAAAGGCTAAAAAATAATAACCGTGACTTATCTCTTGTGAAAATGAAATCGATGTTTGCAATTGGATTTGCATTCACAGCGCTGTTAAGCATGTTCAATAGCATGTAAGTTGTTATATATATTTATTTCTTTACAAATGATAAGGGACACAACTAAGGGACAATATCAAGTAAAAGATATAAATTGTGCAAATGAAAGTAATGAAGTATGAAAGTATTTATAATTTTCCAGATTTGATGGGAGAGTTGTGGCCCATTTACCATTTGTTCCTATATCATGGATTCAAGGGCTCAGTCATAGAAATTTACCTGGTGATGATTATACCGAGTGCTCTTTCATATTCCTCTATATTCTTTGCACAATGTCTATAAGACAGAATATTCAAAAAATGTTAGGATTTGCTCCTTCCAGAGCTGCAAGTAAACAAAGTGGAGGCTTGTTCGGTACTACTCCCGGCCAATTTAAATAAACTAGACAATACTAATTGTTATAATTATGTATTAGTGTAATTTATTTAAGGATTTGTAAGCCTTTTAAAGTGACTGTATTTAACAATGTACAAATATATGTATCAAAATGTTTATATGGTCATTCACAACTTGACAAAGGTTTATTTTACAGTATATTATAGATGAATTAAAAAAAAAAAACATCATTTTCTATTTAACAAGAATTTATTGTTACATGAGAGCTGGATGTTGGGCTTATGAAATCAATATTGTTTGAACGCGATAATTTAAAAATAAAGCACATAATAATAATAAAATGTAAATTGTGCTTTCATGATGGAAACACACCTGAAATGATGGTAAGTTATAATAAAATATTTTACTAGCAATAAGAGAAAAATAACAGTTTTGAAGAATTGTTTTATAGTTGTACATCAAATAGAAGTAAATTGAGACATTGATACATTCAAAGAGATGTACATTGAATAATCAAATTTGTCTGTGCAATGGAAAATTGTTGAGTACTTTTTTAACTTCCCGTAGGGTAAGTTATTGTAATGGGCAGAAAATCGAAATTGAAAATTTTTACATTTCTCGACGTTTCGAAGGTTTCTGAACGTTTTGGCATACTTCAGAAAAAAATGGATGTGTGTGTGTGTGTGCATGTATGTATGGATACAAATTTTCAGTCACGTTTTCGGGCGCACGGATCAACCGATTTGAATGGTTCAAAAAACATTCGATTCCTATTGATAGAGAGATGTGCTGATTAGTTTTTGGCAAAGGCAAGTCCAGCCGTTTCGGAGATACGGAGCAAAGAATGCAGAAAATAGAAATCGACTTTTTGAGAGAACGGAGTATCCGATTTGAATGATCTAAAAAACATTCAATTAGTAATGATTGGGAGAAGTGTTTATTAGTTTTTGGCAAAGGTAGGCCCAGCCATTTCGAAGATATGGATCTAAATATGTAAAAAATTGCAGTTTTTGAGAGAACTAATCGTCCGATTTAACTGATTCAAAGAACTTTCTGCTTGTCTTAACAAAATAATTGATTTTGGAAAAAAAAATTGTATGTATATATATATATATATATATATACATACAATTATGTATATATATATACATACAATGTATATATATATATATCATATATTGTATATCGAATATAATTAAAATTTTATTTTTATTCTGACTAAAGTTCTAATATAACTTAAACAAATAATTTTAACTTTGCAATTCAGTTTATATAATTCTTATGAATATTAGAAAATGTTACAATATTTATAATAATCTATTTGAAAACATTCATTCCTCGAACATTTCGTTGCGGTACGGGAAGTTACAGCAATTTGCCTTAAGGCACGATGCCACCCACCCCACTAGTTATGTTTATATTACCAAACATTAAATTTTTGCAGAGGACGTTTCGGAACTAGATCGGCCTTCCATAGGATTTTCTGTCAAAAATGTTTTTTTTTGTATAGCTATATTATAGCAAAATTTGGTAAGAAAAGTATATTAAGATAATTTTAAAAGAATGTTTAATATGTTTTATGTAAAACATTTTGTTTAGATAGGATTTTGGAAAGTGATAACCAAAAATGTATCTATAATTTTCATAAAAGATTTTATATGTTTTCTTGAGTCACTTGTAAATTCAATTAATATTTGAAAATTTAACGTATCTTCAACTGTTGCAATGATGTGATCCTCGCATAGATGTCGGCAAGGACGTAACCTTAGGTTAAGGTTAATACTATGCCGTTATATTTTTGTCGAGAAATAAGTAAACGGCTAGTTAATCATCATTTTGCACAGTAACACGTCGACTGTAATTCGGATAAAAACGAAATAGCACGAATGATGTCATTTAATTTAAATAAGTCCGAGTTTTTGGCCAGCGCATCAGTCGTAATCATATCGCCGTCACTGTGGTCTGCTTCAGAATACTCTTCCGGTAAGTTTTTTTTACTATTAAATGTTTTATTTTATAAACTAGCACATTTTTTTTGTTCTTGAACTTATTCGAGTCTAAATAAATTCATTTTTGCATGCAGTTTGCGTAGTGCGTTCGACCGGGATTCGTTCCGGAAACCTCTGCATTTGCGAGTTGAGCTCTTAACCACTTGGCCACGTTGCGGATAACTCGGTGAGTTCATATACACTTTTACTTAATGTTAGTATTAATAAGGAATAAGTTTTATAGCTAAATCGTGTAAGACATTTTTCGCGAAATTGATAATTTCATGATCGTGTTAATTATGTTCACACATTTGAGGCAGTAAAAGAAAGTCGTTTTGAAATATTTTTGTTTTTTCTCTTCAAGTATAATTCAATTTATTGATGTCTTTAATATAAATGGGTTTGGCAATGACAACATATTATTACGAATTAATAGAGTATGCTTTCAAATTGAATTATTGCTATACAGTAAAATCCGCTTAGTATGACATCGAAGGGACGCCGAAATCTCGTCATACTAACCGGTCGTCATTAAAAGCGTACTGAAGAAAAACTTTTTAATGTGTAAATATGTTACATGTTTCAGTAATTTAAAAGAAAAGCCTATACAAACGTTTTAATTAAAAATAAAAATGACACATTAAAATTTAATATAAAATAAAATTGACATAGGGTAGGGCGGGGCACAACACAATGAACAACACATAACATACATCAAAGAAGCATCTTTCGAACTATGTTCAGAAAAACTTACATACATACGTACATAATTTCTAATTATATAAATATTATATTTTTAACTATTTTTTAAATATTTGGTATCTGACCCATTTTACCTCACATACGGGGTAAAGTGGAACAACCAGGGGGCGAACAGATGCAATTTCTTCTATTAAATTTTAAAGGCATTTTACGCTACATTATTTAACCAATGCCAAATAATCATAGAGAATAATAAATTAATTCTGTGGATACATTTGTTACAAAGACAACACAGTATATTGGTCAGAAATATTTATCAGAAGAGCCGGATTAACAATTTATTCAATTAATCTTTTGTAAAATTGCTTTTTTTAAACTTTACTATTTTATCGCACTCATGTGCTGCTTATCCTCTGATAGCAAAATCATAAGAATAAAGGTGATAGCTGGTTACGAATTTATACATTTTTTGCCCTCTACTATCAAATATAATTGTTAAAAAAAAATCTAATTTTATTTGTTTATGAGATATCCGTAGTGGACCATTAATAATTAGTCTACCCTACCCATAAACATACAAATGTGTTTTTTTAATGTAAGTTATCAGTAATTTTTGATTGATTTCTTTACATAAT